CTTTAACAGTACGAGACTGTACATTACACAGCGTCATAGCAGAAAGGAAAAAACACTGTACTTCTCTTTTTGATAAAAAAGACATATGTTTGAAAATAGAAGAGTGAATTGTAACCGACGAAACTCTCCTGATTTGTGTTCTAGTGGCAAGACCCGAATAAAACCCGAAATTTTTTTTGCTTTGACCCGACCCGGATCAATATTTTTTACTTTAACCCGCGCGCGACCCGCGACAGCTGGATCCGACCGGACCCGTTTCGGTCGCTGGCTTGAACGGTCTTCGCTCCGTACAAAACGTGAATGATAATTTGCGCTACTTGGGTGTCTTACACTTTTACCTGCAAACCAACGGTTTATTGTAAGTTACTAAGTAATACATCATTCGATAAAAATTTCCAAGCGATACAAAATATTGTTGTTTATCTTTTCAGGAAAATATTAACAAGGAATTAGTTGAGCCTCTTTTTAGGCATAATTGTTGTCTAACGAGGAAACCTTCCCAGATGTTGTTACACTTTGTTTCCATTATTTATGTGCCCATCGATAGAGCATATTGAAGTAGTAAACTATTGAAAAGGGTTTGTGCCCATGCACGCTCAATCTTAGGTCTATCATGAGAAATTGAATTTTATGTTTTTCATAAGTTTTCTAAAGTGTTTTGTGACTCGGAGATGGAAAAAAGTTTTTCTTCATTAACAAGCCTGTTTTGGCATTTATAAGGTAGTAAAATCATTTATTATCTCGGTCAGAACGTTTTCTAGGTGTTTACACTATTGAATAACACAGTTAGATTCATTTTCATTTCTAGGTCACAAGACACTTTAGAAAACTTATGAAAAACATAAAATTCAATTTTTCACGATAGATAAAAGATTCAGGTCTGAAACTTTTGCAACTTAGTGGCTAGAATTTGGACTATTATTAGCGTGAGTTTCAGCTCCACAACACCTTCCAATAGTCTGCTATATTCAAAATACTAGAAACTCAAATTTCGCTAAATCAACCATAACTCGAGAAAGAAGTGGTAAGGGCAAAAACCCTTTTCAATGGTTTACTAGCCTAATATGCTCTATCAGTTGGTATATAAATAATGGGAAACAAAGTGTAACATCTGGGAAAGTTTTTAGTAAGAGAGTTATGCTAGTCACTTTATGTAGTTAGAACAGAAAATTTTCAATATGTCTCAAATATTGTTGTACACGTAAGTGTGGTAACAGGTAATCGACTATGGATAATTCAATGAACATATAATTGAGGTTGTCATAATATCTGTAAAAAATCAGAAACCTTTTCGTATATTGCAATATTAATATGAAGCAATTATTTGTATGGGTAGTCCAGTGCAACGCATGCAATACGTATTTGACGCCTGCAAAAGATATCCCCAGAATCATCAAGAAATCTATTTTATACGTGATGATCTGAGCCATGTGAATCATGATATGATTTTCGCCGTTGTTATTCAATACTTGTAGATGTCTTGTAGTTTTTTAGAGGATGAAATTAATTCACTTTGTGAATTTAGTATCACGCTGCATTCAAGATCTTTAGAAAAGATACATATCGTATTAGAGGGCTTTCTGAAAACTGTGGCATATTTCATAAGCAGAAGTATGATTGAGTATAACCGTCTTCTTCTGATTCATTACTAAAAAACCGTATAAGCATGTCAATCGTGACTGAAAGTGACCGTTCACTGCAATCTAGAGTGAATGACGGACAGCTCCACAGACGTCAACAGTTCAACAAACGTTTCCTAGCTGCATCATGCTTGAATTATTTCAGTTTTTCCTAATTTTGAGGTTATCTCGTTATGACAACAATACTTTGCACTTCATCAGATGAAAGAATAAAGGCGCTTTTCGACCAGATATATATTTAGCAGTAGTGTTGTTGCTCTTTGATTGATGTTGATACTCTTTATCTTACTTCTCAATGGTTTTCATAAAAATGCATGCAAAACCATTTATCATAACGTAAAGTGCTATCGATGGATTAATAGATGACTATATTCATTGAATGATATTTATTCTACTTAATCTCATGATTTTTCGCTTTTGCTTAAGAAAGAAAGAAAACGTAACAGCAAACAGTAGATGATCATTTGACATTTACTCAAAACTACCTTATTTATCTTGGTAAAGTAACACCTTATCTTACACTTCTATCACCGTGCTGAACTTCATCAGGTCAGTAGTGTCCGCATCTGGCCTAGTATTTGCACTTGTCACGAAGGAGACATTGGTTAACAGGTTCTCTCTCTTCAATGAACGAAAACGAATGAATAACAATCACTGTCATTAAATAATAGCAATGATTTTCTTATTACCTCGGCAGTCGACTCTACTCTTCAATGTAATTACAATCTGTATTTTTTACCGTCAAATCGGCACAACAAACGTTACTTTGATTCCAAAACCTATTTTTATCAGTGTTACTGATCTTCCAGCTCCGTTTGCAACGTCATCCGCCAGTAAAGATGCAAATATCATTCCTGTACCATCAGATCCTCGAATTTCCGTTCCTGCTGGATTTATAGTTAAAGTTTTCATGACTGATCTCATTACGCCTCGTTTTCTTCTATATACTCCCACTGGTGATATACTGGTCATTGAACCAATACCAACATACATTTTGTCGGCTGTTGATGGCATGGCGATAACACGAGTCCAGTGACCGCTAGGATCAATATTCATTAGCAGTTCACCTTCGCCAGATATCCGGCGGCTTGCACGTATCCATGGATATCGTCGAATGCCGTTTTGATTAGCTGCATAAAAGTATCAACATCAATCAAAGAGCAACAACACTACTGCTAAATATATATCTGGTCGAAAAGCGCCTTTATTCTTTCATCTGATGAAGTGCA